TCCCAAGCACTCAGTTTCAGGGATATTTCCCTCCTTCTTTTTTCTCCCCTGGAACTGCGAGTCCATGTAGGAGTTTAATCACCCCCTATCTTTCTGCCCCAAGCTACAGAGTCCAGAGAGAGCTCGGAGGGTCTGATTCTATTCAGAATTCGGAGCAGATTGGCCTCCTTGAGGAGTAGGCATGGAGGGACTTTCTTTCTTTCTTCCCCCGCGCCCTGTCTCCCTGGATCGAAAAGGTGCATGAAAAGGATCAGATTTGTCCTTTAAGAAATCTTCCCTGTAGTCCAACTCAATTCTGTGTGAAATACAAAGAAATCGCACTGCCCTTATTGGATTAAAATTTAATAAAAACACATTAGGTCCGGTAAAATATGAATGCACTGCTTAAAATTTTAATAGTAAATTAGGACCCAGATACAGGGGAGGAGACAGTGATTTCTCCCTTCGGGAGGGCTACCGGCTGATTTCAGGGTGGGGGTAGTGCGCCTACTGCTGGAACCCCGCTGCAGCTGCCGGGGAGCTTGGGTGGAACCTCAAGCGACTACTGCCCCGCGGGGAGGGAAGAAGCTGGTCACATCTGTCCGCATCTGGCAGCGTATGGGACAGAAGCTATTGTCAAACAAAGAGGCTCGGCGAGAAGAAAGGCTTTCCTCCTGTAGTCACACATTTGATTCATTTTTAAATTTCTCGGCTTTAAAAACAACCACCTCTCTGTTTTCAGTTTAGTAGGTGGATTTGTAGGTGTGCTGAGGCACCAGCACAAACGGGTGCTTGGGTATAAATGTGTATTTTGAGGTCATGTGAAGCAGATTTTGGATATTGGGCCATTCGCTCACACCCCCTTGGGTCTATCCCCAACTTTCCAGTTGTTTAGATGGTCTTTCTTACCTGGAGGGCTGAAGGCTTTCTTCCTCGGCAAGAGCCTCTTGCACACTCACTGGAGCACTTTGCAGCAATGCCTGTGGGCAAAACCAAAATGGATTTTATTGACATTGCAAAGATGTTCGTATTCTGGACGGTCCTGGAAGGAGAGATCACAAGATTTTAAGTTGTGGTGATTAAGGAAGAATTGCATTTTCTATTACAACACAATCACTGTTGTTCATTTTTCAGTTTGAATGGGAAAAGGAGAAATCTAACTCTGCTTCGACCTGCATGTGTTTTCTAGAGGTAGTGGAATACAGGTAAATAAACTCAAATTGCTCAACTACATGTTAATTTATCTCAAATTGGCAGTTAGGATAAAGAGCTTCCTTTCTTCCCCTGTCCAGAATTACATAAATCACTGGGAAATCTCTGAGAGATTTTTTAAAAAGTTAAATTAATTTAATGATATATTGATTTTAGCCATCAAGACAATATTGGAGGAGGGGGAATTCCCCTGCTTAAAATAGTTTTAGCTGATCAATTCTGTATCAAACAAAGTTTGTCCAGTCATTTCAACAGTGCCCTCTTTACTTCATGAATTTATCATACTACCTTATTTACCATATGAAGTGGTGACAAGTGTTTAGCATTTTGGAGATCAGTTGTCAGTTGCTATTAAAATCAAGATTAATTCGTATTAACGATATGCATTTCTCAATACTCCCAGGTGACAACATACATTAAAACAACTATTGCAAGTAATTAAGCTCAATGAAGGGGGAGGGGACAGGGAGAGGTTCAAAACACCCCCAAATATTTGATTTTGCAATCCAAGTTCAGCAGACTGTTGCCACAATACTGCTTGGGAACCTCCTCAGGGTTGCTTTTCACTTTACATCTAATTAGGCACCTAATGAAAGAGAAGAATTTTTTTCCCATGTGGTTTTTCTCCTTGATATTTTTATGCCTTTATTTAAACACATAAACATGCTGTTTAGAAGGTGCAATACCCAAAAGTTTCTCCTGTGTTTCACTTGGTATTATCATCTGGGGGAACTAGGTAGATAAGAACATTTGTCTTCCAGTTATTTTCTTCCTCCACACTTGCTTTAGCCCTTTGGCCTTTATGTAGTACTGACAGAAAACATGCCCAAAATATTTTAATGTATTTAATATTTTTATTATGCTTTAGAGATGCTCAACAGTTTATACTAATTAGACCATCCAAAGCCTTTTGAAGATTAAACAAATTGGACAACCCTTGTTAATTAGAACATAATTTGAAGTTTGAAATTATATCACTGATGAAGTAGTCTAATTAGTATGACGATGTGTTAATGGACCAGTGAGACACAACAACAGTGGAGTTTGGCGTGAACCTCTCCAAGTCTTGCAGGAAAATCTTCCCTCCTATACCAACATTAATAAAAGATTTCTATAGACTTCAGCCTTTCCACGATGACATACAATTTATAGTACACACAATGCATTAGCCCATAGTGCTGCTCCATTTTTTCACTATTATGAAAACTAATAAATTCGTCAAGCTGAATTAAGCATACAAATCAGATGAGGCATAGCAGATTACACAGTGAAGCGCGGTGTCTCCCGAGCCTAAATGAAATTTCAATCTAATAATTCCTTCCTGGCCCAGTCATAATTTGTTTAGAGATGTTGTTCTACTTCTTTCAAAGCGCTATTCGCACTATAATTAAATGATACTCAAGCTTTTAACTTTGATTTATTTCATTTCTCGAAGCTTGAGACAGTGAGAGCTGTACAATGTCATTTTTTTATTTCTTTGAAAATTACCGTGGCTGTTGTCGAGGTGGAAATTAAACACCTAAGCATTTACTTGAACCGTCCGGCGCAAGTCACATTCATTCATGTCAACACCCCCTGTCCAGTCTCGTGCCTAGACTTCTCTGGTCTCATGCTCAGGAACAGTGCTGGTAGGAAACCCCTTCAGCCATTATTTATTATTTTCCTCCACATAGGGGAAGATAAAGGCAAGTCCAAGGATAGCTCGGGAAAGCGCAAGGGGGTTAAGGACCATGGACAGAACCCGCCGCCCGCCGTTTGTTGCAGCCTCCCCTGTACTCTTGGCGACTCCCGGGCTCTGTGCTCCCAAATTGAACCTGCCGTCCAGCTCCGGTGAGGTCATAGGTGAACCTGCGGTCCCGTACTTTCTGCCGCCGCGGGGCTTTCGGGCGCTGACCACTCGAGGGCCCCCCTTCGCCATGCTCCTTTCCACTCTGTTTTGTCCCAGCGCGCGCCAGCGCCTCTCAGGCCTGCCGCCTGCTCTCGCACCTGCTCGCTTTCCCCAGGCACCGTGTGCCTGCACCTGCTCCCAGTCACCCCAGTCCAGGTCAGGTCACCCGCGGACTCCAGCGTCCAGGTATCAGGGCCTTCCCACCCTCGCCTATTCTCCTCTCCTTCTGCGCTCTGGGGAGGTGACAGCCTCCCCTAACATCAAGGGAAGTAGAAGATTGGAACGGGGAGGTGAGGAAGGCGTGTGTGTGTGTGTGTGTGTGTGTGTGTGTGTGTGTGTGTGTGTGTGTAAGATTGTCTCCTATTTTTACTATTGGAACTAAGTGTGTGTCCACTTCTAAGAAAAGTGGTTTGCACTGGGGCAAAAGTGCGAGCAAAGTGTTGGCTAAAAATAGGTTCTCTGCGCCCAGTGGCTGTGGAAATGAAGATAAGTGGGGATTGTGCCAACCCCTAAGGGCGCGCGCGCGCTCGTGTGTGTGTGTGTGTGTGTGTGTGTGTGTGTGTGTTGGGGCGGGGGGGGCGGGTTCAGCAGCACATGCGCTCTGTGATCTCTGGCCCTGCCTCTCTCTCCATCAGTTGCCCCTTCCTCTTTTGATTGTGGCTAATGAAGGATAATAAATCCAGTGGCGGGTTTACCAGTGGATCCGCCCAAGACCCAACTCGCACTGAACTTGGATACAGGGAGGAGGAGGAGGAAGATCCAGAGGAAGAGAAAAGAGGGCGGAGAGGTGTGTGTGTGTCGGGTGGGGGGGGGGGGAGTAGACAGGGTTGCGGGGAGGGGGGAGTCGCATGCGCAAAGGCGACCCGAGCTGGCTCCACGGCCGTCCAATCCGCTGAGAGCTGCAAGAAATCGAGTGAGAGAAAGCCCTGCAGCCCTGTCGACCCCATGTCTCTTCGGCACCAGGCACCCGCCGGGCCGAGGGGGCGCAGCGCTGAGCGCCAACTGCCTCGTGCACCAAGCGGAAGCGCAGGCCATTGCGGAGGAGTTGGGTCTCCAGGGTCCGCTTCTTCTCCTTCCGCCAAGAGTCAGAGGCCGGGGTCACCTGAGCTGCGGGGAGGGGCGGGCCGAGTGGGGGCGGAGGCCTGGAACCTGGCGGTAATCAGGACGTGGAGGGGGAAAGCAGCCAGGTAAAAGGCGTTCCTGGTAGTCTGGGGGGTCGAGGGTGGGGGAACCCACCCAAGGCTGGCTTGGCCCGCAACTTTATTTAGGACTTTCTTTTCCCGGCTTGGTGGATACTAGGCGGAAAAAGCAGGAGGGGCTGGAAGCCGCCTCTTAGAACTGCCCGGCGACTGGAGCGCCGACCTGGCCAGTGGGGTGGGGTTGAGCTCTAAAGTAAGTGAGAGCTGCGGGGCGCCGGGAAGGGGCGGCTGCAAAAACGCGCGCGCGGGGGCCGGAAAGGGAGGTAGAGGGTGCGGCGGGGGAGCGGGAGGAGGGTGTCGAGAGAGCCTACTCTGGAGGGAGCAAAGAGAGAGAAGGGGCGACGCTAGAATCGGAGCTGGAGAAACCGCGCTTCCTAGCAGGGAGGGCGGAGGCGCGCGGGAGGGAGGGAGAGAAGGCGGGGGTAAGGGGCAGGCGCGGGGAGAGGGGAGTATAACTCAGCGGCCGCGAGGCGCGGGGGCAGTTTCGGGCGCCCAGGTCTGCAGCCAGCTCCAAGCGGAGCCCAGAAACCCCTCAGACTGACGGCGGATCCGGAGGAGGAGCTCCGGCCGGGCACGGCGCGCGGAGCTGGGAGCGGCCGCGGGAGAGCGCAACTTTACACTGCGCATCCCTGCTCCTGCGCTCGCCCAGGACTCCTCAAGAGGGTCCCGGCAGACGGGGCCTGTGCGTGAGCTGCGGCAGAGCACCCGGGCGGACCGGGAAGATGATGATGATGTCCCTGAACAGCAAGCAGGCGTTCAGCATGCCGCACGGCGGCAGCCTGCACGTGGAGCCCAAGTACTCGGCACTGCACAGCGCCTCGCCCGGGTCCTCCGCGCCCGCGGCGCCCTCCGCTAGCTCCCCCAGCGGCTCGAGCAATGCCGGCGGCGGCGGCGGCAGTGGCGGGGGCGGTGGGGGCCGTAGCAGCAGCTCCAGTAGCAGCGGCAGCAGCGGCAGCAGCGGCGGGGGCTCCGAGGCGATGCGGAGAGCGTGTCTTCCAACCCCACCGGTGCGTATTTCTGCATAATCACCGCTTAAAGGCACATTTTGACAGCCCCCTTTATCTGCTTGATGTTTTTTTCATGTCTGCACAGCAAATCACCCCACACCTCCAACCAATTTCCCCCCTCTCTCTCTTATGTATTCAGCGGGTCTTTTCTTTCATATTAATTTTTATGACCTGGGATGTTGCCTGTGCGCGTGTTGTGTTGTGTTGTGTTTGCAGGCTCACTTTCCTCTTCCTCGCGCACTCACGGTTTCTCTCAGTGGCTTCCCTCCTCTCCGCCTCACCCGCTACATTCAGGATTATTATTATTATTATTATTATTATTATTACTATTACTATTATTATTATTTTAACACTCTGGGAATGTTGTAGGCGCGGTGGTGTTGTCGAGCTCTGGGCCGGGGCTTCCGGGGGAGAGTACGCACAATTCCCTGCTGAGCGTAATGTGTGCCTTTTACTTGCAATTGCAGAGCAATATATTCGGCGGGCTGGATGAGAGTCTGCTGGCCCGCGCCGAGGCTCTGGCGGCCGTGGACATCGTCTCCCAGAGCAAGAGCCACCACCACCACCCACCCCACCACAGCCCCTTCAAGCCGGACGCCACCTACCACACCATGAACACCATCCCGTGCACGTCCGCTGCCTCTTCTTCATCGGTGCCCATCTCGCACCCGTCCGCGCTGGCAGGCACGCACCACCACCACCACCATCACCACCACCACCACCATCAGCCTCATCAGGCGCTGGAGGGCGAGTTGCTGGAGCACCTGAGTCCCGGTCTGGCCCTGGGTGCCATGGCTGGCCCCGACGGCGCCGTAGTGTCCACGCCGACTCACGCGCCGCACATGGCTACCATGAACCCCATGCACCAAGCAGCGCTCAGCATGGCCCACGCACATGGGCTGCCCTCACACATGGGCTGCATGAGCGACGTGGACGCCGACCCCCGGGACCTGGAGGCATTCGCCGAGCGCTTCAAGCAGCGACGCATCAAGCTGGGGGTGACCCAGGCCGATGTGGGCTCCGCGCTGGCCAACCTCAAGATCCCTGGGGTGGGCTCGCTTAGCCAGAGCACCATCTGCAGGTTCGAATCCCTTACGTTGTCGCACAACAATATGATCGCGCTCAAACCCATCCTGCAAGCGTGGCTGGAAGAGGCCGAGAAGTCCCACCGCGAGAAGCTCACCAAGCCGGAGCTCTTCAACGGCGCAGAGAAGAAGCGCAAGCGCACGTCTATCGCAGCGCCAGAGAAACGTTCTCTTGAAGCCTACTTCGCCATCCAGCCGCGGCCATCCTCCGAGAAGATCGCCGCCATCGCCGAGAAGCTGGACCTTAAGAAAAACGTGGTGCGTGTCTGGTTCTGCAACCAGAGGCAGAAACAGAAAAGAATGAAATATTCTGCGGGCATTTAGGAGACCCTTGGACTCTCCAGGGACACCCCCTCCTCGTCCCCTCTTTTCCCTCCCTCTCTGTCTCTCCTGCCTCTTTTCTTTCCACTTTTGGCTACCACAAACAATTCCAGTAAATGTGAATCCGGAGAAAGCAAGGATTGGAGAGCGAGCCAAGGAGCGAGCAAATGTGCCCAAGCCCAGTGAGAATGTGAAACGATTTCTCAAGGAAAGAAAAACAAAAGAAGGGGTTTGTCAAGTTGTAGCGAAGTTGTTCCTTTTAACCCTACCCCATCTGGAAAAGGCACCTCGGCTTCTTCACAGGAAGTCTGGAGCTGGCTGTTTGCAGGAAGGCAGACGAGACAGCGTTTTAAAAAGGCCCCCAAAATGATCAAGTAAGATTTGTTTTTATTCCTAAAGACATCACCCTTGTTCAAGTTTAAAAGTACACTTTGCAGCTATTTTTCAGAAATAGAAATCGATTCAGGACTGAAACTTTAAACTAGAGTTGATGCTTAATGTGATAGAGACATCTCTAAAGTATTTTGAATTTTAAAAAAGATGGCAGATTTTCTGCATTTACACTGTATATTATATATATATTTTTATTGTGGTTCTTACCCCCTTTTTCCTTCCCTAAAGTGTTAATGCTTAAGAAAAGAGTTGCGCCTGCTGTGTTCACTGATCTTGAAAGCTATTATTAGATTATTGCCGAACAACCCTCTGTAAATTATTAATTTATCTCTCTAGCAACTTAATTTGTGCACATTCTAATTAATTAAACTTCTTTAGTCTAAAAAAACGGGGGAAACGTATGGCTCGTGGAGTTAAACAATTTTATGTTTAATGAGTTTACTGAATTTTTATGGCTTTCCTCTTATACTGTGTTCCTTTTGGCCCATTTGTATATTCTCACTTTGAATGAAGATTGTTTTTTCTTTGTTTTTACTGGTAGTGTTCTGATTTGTGAGTCGACACTCAGTAATGGATGTCTTAATCGTGTAGACCTGATTCACTGTCCAAAGTATTGTTTACTTCGTTACATATTTAATGGGGATTCCCACATTGTCCCCACTACACACGCACTCTCACTCACCCTTACACACACACACACACACACACACACACACACACACACACACACACCTCTAATGGAAGAGAAGAAATGAAGCAGTTGGAAGCATGACTATGATGCATCATTTTCTAGCTTTAGGTGCATTTGTTCACTTGGTGTTTGCCCTTCCAGGTTCTACGATTTCACCAAGGTATCTCAATCTTCTTGTTTTCAATTGCTTTGTTGACATTTTAACATTTACAAGAATCCTTCGGTTTTTCCTTTTGGAGGTTTGTTTGTAGAAAAACTAATTTAAACTATAAGAAAGACAGTGCACTGCTTGTAAATTCACATTGTTGGTAGAATTCTTTTGGAACAAAAAAAAATTAGGTACATGGTGACTGGTACCTTATCTATTGTAAATATTCCATTCAAAATGATGCACATATAGATATATTCTTACAAAATTTGCTGTATTGCTGTTCCATTTGAGGCTCTCTGAAGTCTTGAGTTCTGTATATGATCTGGTTTCTTGTTTTGTTTTGTTTTGTTTGTTAATAGATGGTTTATTTACTATGGTAATGTATTAAGTTATTTTCAGTGTTGTTTGATTGTCTTTTATTGAAAAGATGATTTTAATGTTTTATTGGCAAAGTATGCTGCTTTTTTCATTAAAATATACTATTAAAATTAAATGGCTTTTAAAATGTGATGTTTTCAATCATTTACATGGAAATTATTTTGATAATTCTTAAAAGCAGGAACAGTTTGATAGTTTATTATTGAGTGGTTGTTATAGTCTGATTTGGATTTAGTAGGGGGTGTTTCTTTAGGAAGGTATAAAAGAACAGCCTTATAATTGTCTTCTAATAGCCAGAGCGCATCTCACAGGGTGCTTTGATTTTCTGTCTAGATGAGGTTGTGATATTTGGCTCCGATATCTCCCTTGGAGTCTTTTCTCCAGATCTGCAATAATTCTGCAAAGAGAATCTTTGTGAGCAAAGATGAGGTACTACATGGGAAGCAAAGATGAGATACTACATGGGAAGAAGAAAGAAAGGAAGTCAGTTTAGTTTTCAGCAGGCAGCACTGGGAGCCTGGGTGTGGCAAGATTCCAGGCCTGTTTCCAGGAGTAGGATACCCCGGTTGAAGCTTAAGGGCTGGCCCACCATAATTCTCAGGTCAGTCACCGCTCCTGGAGAGCAGTGCCCCAGCAAGAGCAGAAGACACCTAGGTTACTGAGTTATGAAGTAAAAGTACATCTCTCTCTCTCTCTCTCTCTCTCTCTCACTCTCCCCCTCTCTATTTCCATAACCTTTACATGAACTTACATTCTACAGTAGGCAGGAAGGAAGGAATCCTGGGTGGTTAGAGAAGTCGATTTTTACCCCCTTTCTATCACTCACTCAAACACCAGAGTTGATGGAAGTCTAATGGTGGTCTGGCACAAAGAAATTCTGCCCTTTGATATACAGACTTTTCTCCTTTTTTGATCCTAGTTTAAAGGTACCTCCTCACCCATTTTAAGCAACATATCAGGTTTCCAAAGTTTTTTTTTTTTCAGGAAAGCTCTGGTTTAGACATTTACATTATTAATGATGAGAAGAGTACCTTACTAATCTATAGGTCCAACAAGAGGAAGGAACCAGGTGATCCTTTAGGGGAAGTTCTGCTGTCCTGAGCGGTGACCTAATATGGAGCTGATTTGGGATGTTTCTTATTTTGAGAACAAGTTTAGGAAATGTCCCAGGAGTCCATGAAAAGTATCATAGTGGCTCCAGTTGAGATTAAATGTTGTTAGAACTTCGTGATTTTCAGATGTAACAAAAAGAACTGTGACAGTTAATGGATAATAAGTGAAGGGACTTCTTTTCCTTCAACTTAAATAAAGGAGAAACCAGAAGAGACAAAATCTATGTGTCCATTTAGAAACAATGAGATCTATCGTATAGATGCTTAAGGAAATATTGAAAGTTGTAGGGATTTAAAGGAAAGTATTGTGAATCCTGGTAGAGCGATAGTGATGGCTTAATTTTATTCTTTAATTTGGAGATTGAAAGTCCCTTCTTCTATTTTACCTTCTAAGATTCAGTTTTCTTGAAAAGTCTTTTCAAGTAGCCAGCCTCTAGTCACAAGAGGCTGTGTCCTGGTTTCAGCACCACGGATAGTAACCACATCACAGTCCTACTCCAACACAGATTTGACCAAGCAGCGTCAGCCAGCTGGAGAACTTTCTGCTTGCTTACTTTTTCCAGAGTGGAGAAAATGAATTAAATGGCTTGAATGTGTAACAAACCGGGCTTGCTGATCTGGGATTAAAGTTATCTTCAGTAAATAACACCTTCTTCTTCCCATATGTGGCTGTTATCTAAGAGTTTAGGATATGTGCGTTAATAGAAAGGAAGAGTCCATTAGAGGAAGGACAGACATGTGTGCTAGTGTTTTATTTCTACAAACATGACATCTTTAAGTGAGAAGAGAGGTCTTGTAAAACTAGTAGAAATTGGGAAGTATATTGAAGAGAAATAAAATAGGTATTCTTTTAGTACATTTGAAGTACATGATAGCTTTCACATATGCATGTTTGCTCAAGATTTTTGTGATAAAAATGATGTAACAGCGACTCTCCATTTACCTCAACAGTTGAGAGTGAAGGCCTATATTTCCCCCCTCATTCACCAAGTGTTTTTTTGCTCCCAAGCTCCTGCACTTTTAAAACTGTATTACAGTTTTAAATACATCTTCTCTATATTATTACAAGGATAAAAATACCTCTCTTGCCTACAAGATGGAAATTATATCCATTATTTAAGCCTACTTAAATGTGTTTGCTTTATGGGAAAATCAGTAGTAAAAAAATAGTAAATATACTCTGAAAGTTTTTATTGATGAGAGCTGCAGAGACATATCAAAACCAACCAAAGAGATTTGGAGAGAAGAAGATTGGTCTTAAAGAAGAAATTTAAAATAAGAACAGAATGAATCCTGTATAAATCCTTGAGAAATATTTATTTAATATTGACTTTCAAAATATTGAAATGGATAAATAGCAAATTGTGGCTGAAGAGCCTTGTCATATCAATCAAATCCGTTGGCATTCATGACTCATTTCCTATTTTTTCTTTAAGGTCCACAATTACTGTTTAATTAGGAAGAGATATTTTATGAATTGACTTAGCAACACACCTAGTCATTCTCAATATGACACTTCAGAACTATGCTGTTAATTTTTTTTAACTTCTCCAAAGGCAAATGATCCAATATTTTTGTTCATTGTGATCATCTAAATCTAAACTAGAATAGAAGAAATGTCTAACAGCAAAGATCAGGATCATGTAAAGCCTGGTTAATATCTAAGGACTCTCTACCAATTGTATTCCAATATTATCTAGAAAGAGTGCAGTTTCCTTTGGATATTTGACATTAAATCAGTCGGTCAATTCTTTGTCAGCTTAAGTTTCATTGACACATAGCTTGGGGAAAATAATGGAAATACGAAAAAAATAATGAAATAAGTAAGATTTATGTTCAACATAATGCTATTTTCTATAAAATGTATTTTTAAAATAATAACAATATGTAACTAAGCCTTTTTACTGTCAAGGACAGATTCTGAGACCTCTCAGAATTGGAATTTGGGGCATAAAATGGTTTATTTCAAACTTTAAATGAATTCATTTTGATCTATCTATTGGGGACACTCTTGAGGACAAAGGAAAAAGCATTACAAAATTCACTTGATTTTAAAAGGCATATTATTCAGAGGATGAAACTCAATTTTTTCCAAGCAAGCCATGACAGTAAGCTTAGAAATTACCCTTTAACTTGTTTGGTGAAAACAATTAATATTTTTAGGTAAATGGTGCATTTAGAACTCAGAACTTCACTTTACTTTTCAGTTGGCTTTGGAGGGAGGGGCTGCACAGAAGGGGGGAAAAGTTAAATTGGTGTTCTGATAGGACAAAAAGGA